CTCCCTCTGCCTGGGTCTCTGCTTCTCTCTCTCTCTCTCTCTCTCTCTCTCTCTCATGAATAAATAAATAAAATCTTTAAAAAATACATGTTTTATAGTTACACACATATTCCTCATCCAACAAAATGAGATGTCATCCTGAGTCACACTTGATGACCAAGGGAACCAGCTGACTTTCTACTGATGTTTGGCTGTGCCTTGTGGACTGCATGCCCTCACTTTCCTTGATAACCATTGGTGGGTGTAGTTTATTGGGAGGCCCAAAGAACCTTCTAGGATGAACACCAAAGCAGCAACAACGGTTTTGGCAGAAATGCAGGGGGACAAGACCCTAGCACAAAGGAGAACTGAGGGATCTGAAGAGAGCTCAGCACACTGAGTGGAGTTGGCCTGACGCCTGAGTGGCCTCCGCAGCAGGCCCTGCAGGCGGAGGGGGTGGCTGTGCAGGACTGTTGCTGCAGCCTGAATGGGACCCTTCCTGTCCCACAACCTTGGCACTGCACCTTGTCGTCTGGGCAGAAGTCGGCCGTGTGTGTGACCTGCTAAGAGATACAGTGAGGCATATGGAGCTTTTAAGAGTTTATTTGAACAAAATCAATTTGAACAAAAATTGATTTGAAGCGGGTAGCCTCTAATCTCACAGAGGGACAGGAGCTCAGGCTGGGGGGCTATACCAAGTGAAAGCTGTCATAAGCAGCAGGGGTGGGGGCGGAGGTCATACTAGGGGCACAGCAGAGTGTTGATCCTTGCAAGCTGACTCTCCTTTAGGCTGCTGGGCAGGTGACTCCCCACTGCCTGGTTTGCTGTCGAAATTATAATTAGGTCTTGGTTTGGTGATGTGGGGCTTAGCAAAAGTGACTCTGTTTCCGCGTGTTGTCTTGTTTTTGACAAAAGGAACATACTGTCTCAATGAATTCTCTCTCTCTCACACAAATCATCTTCGGTGTCACTTCATCCATTGTTAAAAAACAAAATTCAGGGGATCCCTGGGTGGCTCAGTGTTTAGCGCTTGCCTTTGGCCCAGGGCGCGATCCTGGAGTCCCGGGATCGAGACCTGCGTTGGGCTCCCGGCATGAAGCCTGCTTCTCCCTCCTCCTGTGTCTCTGCCTCTCTCTCTCTCTATGTCTATCATAAATAAATAAATAAATCTTTAATAAAAAAAATTCAGTTGAAGAAATTTAAAGGTCATATTGACCTCATTCAAAGATTCATGAAAAGGGCCAGCACACCCCTAGCTAATACAGAGGAGCTCTGAGGAACTGAACAAAATGCGAGACTTTTATAGTCAAAAGGGGGCCAGGGACAAGGAAAGGGCAGGTGACATGATCTTTCTTTGGGGAGCAGAAGGGGTCCGTCAGGTGGACTACCTCACCGGTGCTGATCAGGACATTCCAGATTTACTAGTTTCCGATTTCCTGGGAGAGGGGAAACTGTAATTAGGTCAGAAAGGAGTCCTGGTTCACTGACACTTAGCATAAGTGACTCCACCTTGGGTCTGTTACCTGTCAACACCTCAAAGCACAACATAAGCTGGGGGGTGGGGCACTGGTGTTCTCCTTTGCAAGAGGATTGTAAGCCTGAGGACTGAGGCAAGCGGCGTGGCCGGGGGACCACCAGGGAGCTGATGTCTGGTGAGGACACAGCGCTTCCTGGGGCGGAAACTGAGCCCCGGGGGGGGGGGGGGGGGCGGGCTCGGCAGGGCAAAGGCTGGGCCGGAGGGCAGCCTGGATGGTCCATAGGCCATGTCAGGCCCATGTAGGACTCAGACGCAGGTTAGTGACCCCTGGTAGGTTGGAGGGTCGCACCGGGCCAGAGATGGGGCAGGTTGGGTCATTTAGCAATTAACATTCGGGGGTCAATGTCAACGTCAATGTCAGTTATTAGTCTGCCTCAGGCTGGTGAAGCTTCAGGACGTTCTTATAACCCTCTTTCTTTGTTATGAAGTTAATTTAGATGTATTGCTTTCTTTTTTTGACAAATCTGACTACTTAAACAGATCTAGGGCTCACAAAAGTTTCCTTCCTTCAGCAACTATTCACTGAGTAACCCTATGCCCTCGGGAATACAGACGCTTGCCTCCGCCTTCAGGCAGTCAGAGTAGGAAACGTTTGGTAAATAAAGGTTGTTTCCTAAGGTTCCTAATGCAGATATCCGCTCTTCTCTTCTGGTTCGATTTCTGCCTGTTCCAGAAGAGGGGAGAATCTTTACAAATGGGAGCTTACATCACCTTCTACAAAGTGCAGTGTAAGCCTTGCTTTTAGCATAAAGGGGGAAGGAGCGATCTCTTGCGGCTGTTTCTCAATAGCTCCAGCCCCAAATCCAAGCGGCACATTTTGGGGCCCTGCATTCTTATCCCTTTCAATATAGGCCTGGATCCCCTTTTTTTTTTTTTGCAGCTTTTAGTTTATTACTTATTGAAGATGCTCATGTTTTTCTGTTGTTAGGTGATCAGTTCCTTAAGAAAAAGGCCCGTCCTCTTCACCTGCGTGGCCTAGTGAACGTTAGGGGAGCCCCGTGTGTCTGTCATCAGCCCCTGGTTGTTACGAGCGTGCGACTCCAATACTCTTGCTAGAATCATCTTAGAAGCAGCGTGACAAGATTTATTCCTTCCCGTGTGTGGTCTTTATGTCACCTGTGGCTGTGCCAGGCAGTGCCTGCGCCGGTCCCTTAAGGTACCTCAAGGGGTCTTTGCCAAACAGCGACACTAATTTGAGGGGTGCACCTCGTTTTCCTTGCTGCTGAGTTTCTTTGCCCTTAAGAGCCCAGTAGAAATCTGTTCCAAGAATTTTTCCCCCCAAAATGAAGTAAATTGCTTTTCTCCCCCATTAACTCGCACCAGTGCTTTGACCTGCAAAAATCAATTAGCTGGTTTCCATTTCTAGGCACAAAACCGTTGTTAAAAGTTGAGGAAGACACAAAGAGATGGAAAAGTATTCCATGCTCATGGATTGGCAGAATTAATATTGTGAAAATGTCAATGTTACCCAGGGCAATTTACACGTTTAATGCAATCCCTATCAAAATACCATGGACTTTCTTCAGAGAGTTAGAACAAATTATTTTAAGATTTGTGTGGAATCAGAAAAGACCCCGAATAGCCAGGGGAATTTTAAAAAGGAAAACCATAGTTGGGGGCATCACAATGCCAGATTTCAGGTTGTACTACAAAGCTGTGGTCATCAAGACAGTGTGGTACTGGCACAAAAAACAGACACATAGATCAATGGAACAGAATAGAGAACCCAGAAGTGGACCCTGAACTTTATGGTCAACTAATATTTGACAAAGGAGGAAAGACTATCCAGTGGAAAAAAGACAGTCTCTTCAATAAATGGTGCTGGGAAAATTGGACATCCACATGCAGAAGAATGAAACTAGACCACTCTCTTGCACCAGACACAAAGATAAACTCAAAATGGATGAAAGATCTAAATGTGAGACAAGATTCCATCAAAATCCTAGAGGAGAACACAGGCAACACCCTTTTTGAACTTGGCCACAGTAACTTCTTGCAAGATACATTCACGAAAGCAAAAGAAACAAAAGCAAAAATGAACTATTGGGACTTCATCAAGATAAGAAGCTTTTGCACAGCAAAGGATACAGTCAACAGAACTCAAAGACAACCTACAGAATGGGAGAAGATATTTGCAAATAACATATCAGATAAAGGGCTAGTTTCCAAAATCTATAAAGAACTTATTAAACTCAACATCATAGAAACAAACAATCCAATCATGAAATGGGCAAAAGACATGAACAGAAATCTCACAGAGGAAGACATAGACATGGCCAACATGCACATGAGAAAATGCTCTGCATCACTTGCCATCAGGGAAATACAAATCAAAACCACAATGAGATACCACCTCACACCAGTGAGAATGGGGAAAATTAACAAGGCAGGAAACAACAAATGTTGGAGAGGATGCGGAGAAAAGGGAACCCTCTTACACTGTTGGTGGGAATGTGAACTGGTGCAGCCACTCTGGAAAACTGTGTGGAGGTTCCTCAAAGAATTAAAAATAGACCTGCCCTACGACCCAGCAATTGCACTGTTAGGGATTTACCCCAAAGATTCAGATGCAATGAAACGCCAGGACACCTGCACCCCGATGTTTCTAGCAGCCATGTCCACAATAGCCAAACTGTGGAAGGAGCCTCGGTGCCCATCGAAAGATGAATGGATAAAGAAGATGTGGTTTATGTATACAATGGAATATTACTCAGCCATTAGAAGCGACAAATACCCACCATTTGCTTCAACGTGGATGGAGCTGGAGGGTATTATGCTGTGTGAAGTAAGTCAATCGGAGAAGGACAAACAGTGTATGTTCTCACTCATTTGGGGAATATGAATAATAGTGAAAGGGAATATAAGGGAAGGGAGAAGAAATGTGTGGGAAATATCAGAAAGGGACACAGAACATGAAGACTCCTAACTCTGGGAAATGAACTAGGGGTGGTGGAAGGGGAGGAGGGCGGGGGATGGGGGTGAATGGGTCACGGTCACTAAGGGGGACACTTGACGAAATGAGCACTGGGTGTTATTCTGTATGTTGGGTACGTTGGTAAATTGAACACCAATAAAAATTAATTTATAAAAAAAAAAAGTTCGAGACTTTGCCACAATCTGGCTTTTTCTGTTTTGCAGCGCAGCAACATCCGGTCATACAGATGGTCCCGGTCGCATTCCTGAGCGTGTCGCTCTTCCCAAGTATTTTGTAACGAGGACTGTCTCGAAAGCTCTTCGCAAAACTAGACCCACGGGGCCTGAGGAGACCCCAGGCCGCCGCCCCGCAGGCCGCTCCGGCCGCCCGGATCCCCAGGCGCGAGGGGGGAGGGGGGAGGGGGCGGGGCGGGGGGCGGCGAGGCCGGGTCACGGGCACGCGGGGCCCCGCCCCTCCTTTCCCTCCCCGTCGGGGCGCCCGGCGCCCTCCCCGCCCCCATCCGGGTCCCTCGCGAACGCCCGGCCCCTTCCGCCGCTGCCGGGGCCCGCCTGCTCCCGCCCCGCCTCCTCCGCCTCCGCCTCCTCCTCCTCCGCCGCCGCCATGGAGCGCCCCGGAGCCGGTGAGCGCGGGCGGGAGGCCGGGGGAGGCCGGGAGGGCCCCGTCCCCGCCGTCCCCGCCGTCCCCGCCGTCCCCGCGCCCCGGCCCCGCGGCCCGGCCCCCGGGGCTGCCCCGTCTGGGCGCCCGCGGCCTGCCCGGCCCGGAGGGGGCGCCGGCAGAGCCCGCACCCGAGGCCCCGGGGGACGGGGGGACGGGCCGGAGACGGTGACACGCGCCCCTCGTGATTAAACACGGGAGGAGACGCCGGGACGTGACCCCGGCCGCCGGTGGCCGCCCTGCAGTGGGGGTGGGGGGCGGGGGGCGCCCGCGGGACTCACGGCCCCCCCACCGCCCCCACGCCCCCCCCATGGCCCGGCCCCGAGCTTCCCGCGTGTCCTCGCGCCTCGGGCCCGGGGCAGCTCCTCGCGGGCCAAGTTGACGGCGACCTGATTCGGCGCCTCCCCGCGCACCGTGGGCCGTGCGGACTGCGCGCTCCATTTCTCTCTAGTAACGGGTTGTGTTTCTGTTCTGTCCGTGAGGAGGACGCCCGGCTGGGTCACGCAGCCCAGCCCCTCCGCGGGGGGGACACGCCGCCGTTTCCGTGGCCGCAGCGCTTGCCCTGGGGCTTGGGGAGCACCACGCGGAGAGCGGCACGGGGGACAGGCGCACGGGGGACAGTGGCACAGGGGATAGGCGCACAGAGGACAGCCGCACAGGGGACCTGACAGGCCTGCTTCAGGGACTCACATTCCATTTCCCAGATAGGAAGCTTGCATTTTGGGTGACAAAAGGCAAAACTGTCCTTAAGTCATCTGCTGAAGTGCACGTATATTTGAATATCGGTGTATACTTTATGGTTTTAAATTTTATTTTAAAAATATTTTATTTAAATCCAGCTTGCTGATATATAACACCCTATGTTTTAAATGTGTGCATTAATTCTTTTTATAAAAGTGATATTCTATTTAAAGTACTTGAATGACAGAAAGGGGGAAAATACAAATAGAGTGCAGCTAGGCCAGAACTTAGAAATAATCTATGTCCTCCAGCCTTTGCATGACCATAATGACAGAAGACATGCAATGTTGTATTTGCTTTTTAAAGTAGTTGTTATCAACTTTTTTCAGTTGTTGCAGTCTTTATAGCTGTTATTTTCAGTGTCATTAGTGTGAGCGTGCTTTATTAATTCCTCTATTATTAGGCATGTAAGTTCCACCTTTTCTTCCTTTTTTTTTTCTTCCTGCTTGCTTTTTGAGGTATTAGGGTGCACATAAAGAGTTTAGTTAATTACACTGATACAGGTGGACATGGGCTGGGAATTGTCCCGCCCGTGTCAGCCTATGTGCTACAGATACATTAGTAAGAAAAACATTTTTATAGCTCCTGACCTATTGCCAGAGTGCCTTTTGAAAGAATTCCCTCAGTTTACAGCTCCGTGAACTACATATGTTAACAGGCAGTGGAGCATGTTGCCAGAAAAAGAAGTTTTGACAGTAGAGTGACAGGATTCAAATTCCAACCCTAAACTTAGCTGTGACCTTGGGCAAGTTACTTCATTGGCCAGTCTGTAAACTCAGTAAACAACTAATAGTACCTCCCTGATAGCTGTCTCTGTGGATTAAATGAGTCATTACCTATAAAGTGCTTACAGCTCGGCATAGTGTTATTGCCTGCTCAAGTGTTAGCTGTTATTTTATTTGGATTTGTGCAAAAGATAGGGTTTTAATCAGACCAAATTTTAAGTACTCAAAATGACCATTTTATGGCTTAAATGCTTTATTTAAGAGCCAGTTATTTTAAGGCAGTATTTCAGAAGCAAAATACTTCTAGTTTCTGTAGAAAGAAAGTGTAGTTGGTGTCTTAGTGACATCTGTCACCTTTGCCCAAACAGTGGAGCTTAGAGAACTGGAGGAAAGCTTCCAGATTTGAACTCTGTTGAGAAACATTGCTCTAGAGAATGACCAGCAATTCTTTGAAGAGTTATTTGGAAATGGTGTTCTCTTTTTTTCAGAGTTAATGATTCATGTCTACAAAAATGGTTTCTATTATTCTGTAGTTTCATGGAACAAAGTTTATTTCAAGTTCTGGATTATTGATTTTGCCATAGCATTGCATTTCAAAAGTTTCTATATGCTTTATTTAACAAGATGGAGAATGATATTGAGGAAGTCCTACTATACTTTTTATATCAAATGAGATGGCAGTACATTTCCTTCATCATCCTGTGAAAATGAGACTCTGTGATGTGCTGAAGCTGCCATTTAAACACCACAAATTAAAAAAAAAAAATAAAAAAAAATAAACACCACAAATTATTTTTTCTTGGGCATCGAAATAGTTGTATTGCAGTGTAACTTGAGTGATTTATTATTAAACACTCTAGAATGTGTGCTTACCTGTATCCAGTCATTCAGTACAAGCATATTGATCACCAGCTGTGAGCTGAACACTACTAGACATTGAGGAATCAAATAAAGATAAGATGTGGCACTTAAGGAACTTAGAATGGGGGGTCTATACTTATGGATGGAATGTAATTATGAAAAGTCCTCCCTTTCACTTTCTGAAGTATCCCAGTTTGGGGTGGTAAAGTATATGATCACTTTTACTTAGTGTCTAATGGACAAGACTGACAGATGGACACTTACATGTGCGGTGACTGGAGGAAGCACTAGCTATTGGGAAGGAGATGGGATTACCTAACTCAGCTCTGAGCTGGGGATCAGAAAAGTTTCCCCTAACAGTAAACATCTAATCTGAGTTTCTACTTTTAAGTTGATTATTCTCAACTGTCAACATAGTCGCTTGGTCTCGTGAAGAATCAAGGTGTGGAAGAGATGAGAAGGGATCTTTGGGAGCAGTCATTTTTCATCTTCTCTTCCACATTAGAGTCACCCTGCAAGGCTTTAAGAAAATACCAGCAGCTGCCTTGATCTCCAGAGATTCCAATTTAATTGGCCTGGAGTGGGACCCAGGCATTGGTCATTTTAAAAAGCTCCAGGTGATCCTAAGGTGCAGCCAGGATTTACAGTTTTCCAAGTAGGACAATGATGTCATCTAGGAGAGGGGCTACCGAGTGGGGCCTGAAGAGTTCATATGAATTTCCTGGGATCATACTGCTAGTGAGGTGGAAGCACCACACTAGGATATCTGCCTCCTAATTTCTGATACTAAACCCTCCCTGTTACATCAGCCAGCTTGCCTTGTGTCATTACCTAAATGGCACTCTTTTCAATATTGTTCCTTCCTGATTCTGCTTTTGTAGAGGCAGAATGATCCACGTAGCACTTCTCTAACTATTGGTTAATGGAGCTGGAGATAAACTGAAAGTATTTCGATAACTTTTTTCATGGAAAAAAATAACAATTCATCATGCCATTCAAGCCTTCCTTTTGCCTTCACAGTATGTTGTTAGAGCACAGAAGTCAGCCTCTTAGGCCATTCCACACATTGCCAAGAATCCAATCTATTTCCCAGGGGCACACAGACTTTAAAGCCACAATTGAAATGTCAGTGCTAATGGGCCAATTTCATATCACCGAGTTCTTTTTTCCTCCCAGCTTTGTTGAGATGTAACTCACAAATAAAATTGTATGTATTTAAAGTGTACAGTGTGATGATTTTATACAAGTATATATTGTGAGATGATTACCACAGTCAAGTTAATTAACATCCATCACCTGACATAGTTACATAGTTCCTTTTTTTTTTTTGTGAGAATGCTTAAGGTTTACTTTCTGAGCACATTTCAAGTATATATAGTACAGTATTGACTACAGTAACCATGCTGTACTTTAGATCTTCAGAGATTAGTAATACGTTCTTAGATTAAGAATACAAGAGAAACACAAAAGTTGGGTTTATTTCATTTTGTTCTGATTTTCATTCTGCCTTGTGCATATTTACCTGCCTAAATACTCTGCTGCTACCTTTTCAAGAGTAAGCTGCATGGTCAGTGATGATTCTTTATGAGTAGCTATATGTGCCCGAAGGTACAAGATATATATTGACCTATTAAAATTTTTGTTTAGGTATAATCTGCATTTGTATTTTTCAGTTCAGGCATAAAAATAGGAAACATTTACTTGTTCTCATATTTCAAGTTGTTATAAGTTTATGAATAGGCTCATAGTAAACTAATATTTGTTGAACACTTGTGTGCCAGGCACTCATATTTGGTAAATAAATAGTATCATTATTAAGAATGTACTATTACTTTTTTTGTTTGTTTTGGTATTGAACATGACTATATATAAATCTTGTTTTTTTATTTTTATTTTATTTTTTTATTTTTTCACTTTTATCTGGAATGTGTGTGTGCATATGTGTGTGAGCAGTAGTAAAGATCACTCAAATTGCAATAAAAATTTAGATTTTTTTTTTTTGGTATGTATGTTAACTATGACCTTTCATGACCTTATTATGTTGTAAGCCATATTCTTAATGGAATGTGGTTTTTATATATTTGAAAATAGAGGATTACAACAGAAAGAAATACATGACTTCATGAATATCTTTAATGGTAGGTTAGTCTTTAGTAAATACATAGGGTAAAAATTATACAATTATCCCAAGATTTTGTTCAGTCCTAGTTCAAACAACATTTGTGTATTGTCAATAGAAGCGTGGAAAATAATGGTACTGGGACGACCACCTACTGAGACATTTAGCAATTTTATCAGTTTAAACAGACACTCTCTTTCCCTTAACCTCCACCGGAAACATGGTTGTTCCACCCATAACAAAAACAAAAACCAAGTGTGAAATGTGGCTTTAATATTAGCAAATATCCTTGGGAGGGCAGTCAGGGAAACTATACAATCTTTTGGTGTTTAATCATTAAATTTCTAGGAAAGCATATTTAGAGCCATGAATTACCAATGTTAATTAATAACAGAAAAAATATGTCTATTGAAAAAAAAATAAAGGTCAGAACTTGTACAAATGAGAACATGTAACTGATATTATTAAAAATAAACATGAGACAGATAAAGCTATTGGTTTTCAAAAAGTATGGAAAATGGAGTTTTATTTTTTAATTTTTTAATTTAAAAAAAATGGAAATTTAGAGTTAGAAAATTTAGCTATAAAAGATCTGGAGGATTGTTGATTTACTCAGTCTTCCTCTAACCCTGAGTGGAATACTATGCTTCAGAAAATTATTAAAGCTGTTTAACATAAAAGTACATTTATAGAAATGTAGACTATGGTACAAATAATGTTTATATTACTCTATAATATATTCAAATACAAGGATCATTTCTCAACAAATGTTAATTTATATTGAATTCAGTTCACTTGTCTTAGTTTAGGATACAATTAAAAAATAAATAATACATTTTTTTTCTTTTTGATATGTTAAAGGAGCAATAAATTCCAATGAGTGTGAAAATGCGTCAAGAGAAGAGGAAATGTCAGAAGAATTTGAAGCTGATGCTATGGATTCTCTGAAAGACATGCCATTTGCCACTATAGATATTAAAGATGATTGTGAAAGTAAGTATTGAAAATGAGACAGATTTGCCTATTACCCAGGTTACTTGTGAAGAGAAAATAGGGGAAAACACCAACATATTCCACAAATGTTTGTTGACTGTATGCTCTGTACCAGTTATTTTACATCAAGTCTTCTGTAGAACCTTGCTGTGATCTGATACAGTTGGGTCTCGACTGGGCTTCCCAAACTGGAGGATCCATAAGAAATTAGTTTGATCTCCCCCAGGGTGGGGTGCTGCCTTGCAAGGAATGTCTGTCCGGTGGCAGAGGGGCTGGGCTGCCTGGGCTCCATGGGTCTGGACTCTGTCTTCTTGGGGTCCTCATTTACCTTCAATGTTTAGCTTACATTTTGAGCAATAAAGCCTGGTGGTAGTGTGAAAAAAAAATTAGTTTGATCTCTTCATTTCCAAGAAAAAAAAATAAGACTCCGAGAAGTTAATCAGCTAAATTCACATAATGGAAAAGAACTACTTTGGGGTGGCTCAGTCAGTTGCGTGTTGAACTCTTGGTTTTGGTCTGGGTCATGATCTCAGAGTCATGGGGTCGAGCCCCAACCATTGAGCTCGATGCTCAGAGTGGAGTCTGTTTGAGATGATCCCTCCCCACCTCGTGCAAACACACCCTATCTCTCTCTCTCTTTCTCAAATAAAATGAATCTTAAAAAAAGAAAAGAACTACTTACAGAATCTGTGATTTCTGATTCGTTAGTCCTTCTTTGATGAATAGCTATAACCTCCTGAGACGAATGCTGTACATGATTCTGTGGGCTTACCTGGGGCGAAGGTGTGTCAGAGAGGCCTCTCACCTGGATGTGGGTGGGTGCCCTGGAAGGCCTTCCTGGAGATTTGAGAGGAGGAGAGGCCTGCTGGATACAGGTGAACGCTTCAAGGTTCTCTCCTCTATACTAACTGTCCTGTACTTAACTGATCATCTGGGTTTTCTGGGGTGTGATGGAAAACTCCAGATTCCTCTTTTCCACCTTTGTGTTGGACCCAGGGAACTTTTTGGTTTTTAAGCATCCCATGTGATTCTGGTGCTCATCCAGTCTCGGAAACACTGCTTTCTATCTCACTGTCTTCCTATCCAGTGAGTCTGGTTCGCATTTTGGGGTGATGTAAGGAGAGAGGGATACTTAAAATGAGTCATATCTCTGATAACTTATTAATCACTCCCCCCCTCCCATTCCATAATCCGAGGGGAAAAGGAAGGACAAAGAGGTATTTGCTCAGTCATGGGACGCTTTCCCATCTTTCCCTCTACACCTGGCCCGTAGAGAAAAACAGTTTTGGGGGTGTTTTCCAGCTCTTAGAGAAATTCTTCATTTGGAGAATTAGTATACCTGGTAGGTAGAAGAAGATCCCTTTTGGAAACAAGGGGCAAGGATACCAAGGGTTTAATCATGTTTTCCTTTTTAATTTCCTACTTTTTGAGCAAATAAAATGAATATACCTAAAAAGTGCAATCACTTCTTTCTGATTTCACTACTTCCTCTAATTTGGATATAAAATAAGAGTTTTCCTGAACGGCCATGCCTGCACACCCGGGAGCATCTCCCGCCCCCCTTCCTGACTCTGCACCCACCCAGTCCAGCCAGGATCATCCCCTCGCAGTGCTCCCAGCTAGCCTGGGGCAAGAGGAGCACCTGTCCCCCGGGGCCTCGGGACCCCACACGGCTGATACGGGGCTTGTCTGTTGGAACAACAGCCTCCACTTGAGTCTGCAGCGAGCTACTGCCAGTTCCCAGGGGGCAGATAGTGTTTCTGCAGCCGTTGTGTTCTGTCCCCACCGGTGGGGAGAGGCCACGGCCCCTGGGACTGGAAAGAAGGAAGGGCCGAGCTGCTGCTTCCAGGGGGGCGTTGGGAGGACGGACCGGTGGTCTATAGGAATAGGGCCTTTCCCTCAGTATGTGTTCCATTCATCACTAAAGACGTGATGTTAGTGTAAGCTCGGGGCCCCTGCGGGCCACGCGAGTCCCTTAGCTGTGTGACCCCTACTGGAAGTTCCGTCTTCGGGAGGAAGAGGTCTCCGTGGCTTATGCTAGCCTCCAAACCACCATGTACAGTATTGCTTTGGTGGGAAGATGGGTTTCAAATTCCAAGCTCCAGCTTACACAGTGTCAGAGAAATAGAAAACCTGTGTTTTGAGTTTTAGTTATTTCATTTTCTACTCCTTGGACCCTTAAAGTGTATGAGCTGGACTCCTCACGGTCACCGGTGCTGAGTCCCTCCTGGTCACCCCTCAGCCTGGCTGTGCAGATCAGAGGAGGTAAAGGGGGCAATTAAAATGCAAAATAACGCACAGATGCTACGTACAAAAACTTTGAAACATATCCCTTAGTTATCTGGGGACAACTCGTTCTCTCCCATTTTTACAACAGCATTTCCTAAGACCCTAGAAACAAATACTAAAATTCTTTGCAAACTGGAAACTCTAGTTTTTGTGAAATGAGATTTTTATAGAAAGTCACAAAAGCTGGGCGTTTTGTTGTCAACCCTTAAACTTAAGATAGATTTAGCAATAGTGTTTGTATTCAAAAAACAGGATAACCGGTTTGTGACTCAAAGGGACTCAATGCGGCTTTCTCTTATGTTTAGTAATGTGGCAATTTAATCGATTTACTGGACTGTGGTAGACAGCAGCCTCAAAATTCTCAAGTTGCTGGTTGTCGCCTTTGGTTCTTCCAGTTTCCTTTGGTGGGTAGAGATTGCGAGGGAACTGCCAAGACGTTCTTGCTGATAGGAACCTGGCAGGGCGAGGAGGAGAGTGGTGCTGACAAGAACATCGTGGGAAGGAGGATCCTTGCCAGTAAGAACACTCCCCGGTGCTTGGCTCAGACTTAGTTGCCAACTGTGTTACCTTCATTCAGCATGGCCGCTGTCATGACTAGGTGTCCTGCCGTCTGGTTGGCTGAAATTTGTCCTTATGGTTTTTCTTAGTTTTGTTTTTGAAAAGAGACTATTTTACTTGAATTTACTTAAAAATTAAAAAAGAGACTTTTTACTTGAATTTACTCTATTTACTTGAAAGAGAACTATTTACTTGATAATTATATCTTAGAATACAAAATGTATTTGGGGTGACTGGCTGGTTCGGTGTGGTAAGCATCTGACCCTGGATCTCAGGGTTAGTGAGTTCAAGCCCTGCATTGGGCTCCACAGTGGGCACGGAGCCTACTTAAAAAAGGAATATGAAATGTATTCGAATATTGAATCAAATATAGAATGCATTAGAATTATATATACTAGAATATAAATATACACATTGGAAATAAAACATCCAGGTGTATATGAAAGAAATCCTCTTAGGAATGTTGAAGGAGCAATACAGTCTGAGCCACATCTTCTGGATTTTATAGGTTGAACATGTTCCAGGAGAAAATATAACACTAGTGACTTATTGCTCTGGGCCCGGGTGGGTCTGTTCTCTTTAGAGGGTGGAAGTGTCATTGGTCAGTTGGTTAGAAACCCAGCAAAACCTCCAGAGAATGCCTCGAGCTGCTGTTAGTGTTGCCTCTGAAAGTTGGACGAGTCTACCATGAAGAGTCAACCGCTGATAGGAATGGCTTAGCGTGCGTCCCATGGGGGGTAAGTCTGTGGGGAGCTTTAGGTTTTTTTCTTTTTTTTTTTTTATAAGATTTTATTTATTTATTCATGACAGACATAGAAAGAGGCAGAGACACAGGCAGAGGGAGAAGCAGGCTCCATGCAGGGAGCCCAACGTGGGACTCGATCCCGGGACCCCGGGATCACACCCCAGGCCGAAGGCAGCGCTAAACCGCTGGGCCACAGGGGCTGCCCGGGAGCTTTAGTTTAATTGGCTCAGTTCTCTTGTGAGACTCATAGCCCTTAACTATCAAGCCATATTTAAATCAAGATTGAAAATAAAATAGAGTGTCTTCTTTTTTTCTTTTCTTTTTTTTTTTTTTAGTCATTTGTCTTTCATAAGTGTGGAATTCTGGTCGTATATCAAAGTTATTATAATCCTTATTAGACTTCATGCAGAATTCTAACCTTATAATTATCACAGACTTTAAAGATATGGGAAATTATTATTTTGTTACTTGTTTATTAGCTAATACCATTAAGTTGTATTTTTAAAAAGTACTTTAACTTTTAGATATTTTAGAATATCAATTGAAATCTACCTTTTCCTGAAAAGAATTTTTTTAATAGAAAAATACTGTATCAAATAAAGATTGAACCTCAGTACCTGGTGTAGTAAGTGACTATCCTGAGTCAGTTTTAACTTTTCATTGTTTTTAAAGATTTATTTATTTCCGAGAGAGAAAGAGAGAGAGAGAGAGCGCACATGCAGGGGCAGAAGGGGAGGTAGAGGAAGAGAGAGATGGAGAGAGAGAGAGAGAAAGAATCCCAAGCAGACTCCCTACTGAGCATGGTGCCTGACTTGGAGGTCACTCTCATGACCCTAAAATCATGACTTGAGTTGAAATCAAGAGTCAAAGGCTTAACCAGCTGAGTCACCCAGGTGGCCCTACATCTTTGTTGTTGTTGTTAAGTGATCTTAAGCTCTACATCCAATGTGGGACTTGAACCCACAACCCTGAGATCAAGAGTTGCATGCTGAACAGTCTGCGCTTGTCAGGCACCATTCCTGAATCAATTTTAAATCAATTTACTTTTTAAAAATTTATCTATTTATTTGAGAGAGTGAAAGACCGAGAGAGAGAGCACAAGCAGGGTAGAGTGGCAGAGGGATAGGGAGAAGCAGACTCTCAGCTGAGCAGGGAGCCCGACATGGCTCTCAATCCCAGGACCCCGGGATCACGCCCTGAACCACAGGCAGATGCTCAACTGACTGAGCCATCCAGGTGCCTCCAGATGAATTTTTAAAAAGGATACAGTGGGTCACCTGGAGGCTCATTCAGAAGAGCATGTGACTCTTAATCTCAGTGTCATGGTTTTGAGCCCTACGTTGGGTGTAGAGATTACTAAAAAAGATAAACTTAGAACGGAGCGTAAATTATGTTCTGTGTCATCTCT